TTGTTATTTTTCTCAAATCAAATGTAATGTTAGAATCTTAGGATTTTTTTTATGAAATTATTTGAATATTTTTAATAAATTTTTGTTATGTATTAATTTAATGATGATTTAATTGGTTTTGTTATTATTCTTATATTTTAAGATTTAGTTTAGTATGATTATTATTTTTGATTTATGTTTTTGGTTTTACTTTTTAAAATTTAAACTATTAAAATTACAAATTAAAATTAAAATTAATAATTCATTGAGTATAAATTTTTTAAATTAATATTTAAAATTTTAAATTTAATTAATTTGTAAAACTTTTTATTTTTATTTAAAATTTTAAAAACTCAAAATTCAAAGTCACAGTCATGGTTGTCAAAATCGAGTTTTAAATTGTAGATTTTATGAGTTTACGAGTTTAGATATGTATTTCGAGTAAAATCTACATTAACATCGAAATCTCATGAAATCAGAAGGAAAAATTGTAAAATTGCAATTTCATGATAAAATCGTTTGAAATCTCAATTTTGCATGGAGTGGAGGAATCACCCTGATGGTTGGTCGGCTGCTGTGAGACGGAGGAGATGACTTGCGACTGTTGTTAGGCAAAGGAGAGTAGATCGATGATGAGGAACAAGTGATGAGAATGGTGATCGGTGACGGAAGGGGTGAAAACTGATGATTAGAGAAAATGGAGAAAGAGGGTTCTAGATGGGAGAAGAATCAGGTGATGACTGGTGATGGAAATGGAGGCTATTGATCGAAGAAAAAAAATGGAGAAAAGGGATTCTAGATGGAAGAAGAATCGACCTTTTTTTTTTCTTTTTTTTCCGTCTGTAGCCTCCTTTTTTCTTTTTTCTTTTTTTTGTGTGGCTCTACCCTTTAAAGAAAAAGGAAAACTAGGGTTTTTTGGGTTTGAGTTTTAATGGGTTGATTTGTGAAAGTGGCTAGTGGGCTCAATATTTGGGTTTGAGTTGGATTTGTTGGTTTTTCTTAGTGGATTTCACCCCCCAATTTTACTTTCTTCACATGCGTCCCTTTATTGAGTTCTTTTTTCAAATTTCTTCATAAAATTTTCTCTTTTTGCATGTAGCACCTGAAGCAAAATAAAGTATATGTTAGTTAAAGAAAAGAGAAATTTTCATATTTTTTTATTTTTGTGTTGTATTTCACATTTTATAATTTTTATGACTTCCTTGATTAATTTTAAATGGTTTACACCATAAACTGCATTTATTTTTAGTGATGCCATGTGTTAATGGATAAAGTGAGATCAAATTGACTAAAAGGATGCATATCTGAAAATTAGTTGGGAGAATAAAGATTATCCGGTTTGTTGTAGCTTAAATTTAACAAAAATAGTAATCCTTAGAATTTAGGAGGAAATTATTATCCATGATCTGAACAACCAGCAAGTGAAGCAGGGAGGTAGTTATCAAGAAACATATAAATAGAAGGTTTCAGATGTTTCAACACACACAGTTAGCCCTATATAGAAACTCATCAAATTTTCAATTCTTTAGTTTCATAGTGATTGCTCGCCTTAACTTTTATATTTCAATTTTAGCACAGATCCCAGTAGATTTAAGTTGTTTTCATTATTCAAGTACCCAAATTAGTTTGTATAATTGCTTCTTTGATTTCCTTTCATGCAATAAACATTAAGTTTACTCTAATTTGCATTTCATTCAATTCATTTTGGATTTATTAACTGAAATTCATGATATTGGTAAAGTCCTTAAGATTGTTCAAGGCAGATTTGCAACCCATTTTGCAGGAAGGCATACTTCCCTCTTGCAAATCGTTTGAAGGGCACAAAATTCAATCGTAAACCAACATTCTTCTAGCCATCCTAATGGAGGTCGACTGCGTGGAAGGGGAGAGTTGTTGGAAAAATCCTTTTTCTTACTTTTCAGAAAAGTAAGTGGTACACCTACATTCAGATTCCACACGTGTGAAGCCATTTGAGAATTTTTTAGAAAACAAAATGATATATATATATTTTTTATTTTTTTTGAAAAATCTAAATAAATCAAATGAAAAATTGGATTATGACAACATCAGACTCCATGTCCACCAACAACGATAATTTGAAGGATTCGGAGGATCTAAGTGTTCTTTGTGACAATTTTCACT